TTATTATTATTATTATTATTATTATTATTATTATTATTATTATTATCTTAGTCAGGACATGCTAAACTCCAAGATTGATTTGGAATTCAGAGCGTTTTAGTGGAGGCGTTGTGCGTATCTAGCAACATGATTTGCTATGCTATTGAATCGCGATCTTCCTGTGTCTGCATAGCAATTGAGTAAGTATTCCAAATGTCGAAATGTGTTCAAAAATCAAAAATGTGTTCTAATCAATCAGAGAAGTTCCTATTTTCTATGTGCCTTAAATGGGTCGTGATCTTTGTTGGACGGGATTCCTGTGGATAAAGCTAGTCATCAACTGTCCAACTGACTTATGACTACGGCCAAGTTCAGAGTACTACAGTAGGACCAAGTTGTTTAAACATTTTATTCTAGTCCAAAGAAATTCCTGCGGCACACCTGATGCAGACAGAATCTAGTGTTCAAGAAAGATGTGTAAATCAAAATCGTTTGGTTCCGAATTTTCGACACCTGTATGCTTGGCTTGTGATACTGGTGTTATCAGGTGTGCGAATCACCCGTCGAAAATGTAACATTTGACTGAATCCGACGTACGTAAAACTCTCTATGGGCAGTTCAATTCTCTGAGCAAGGGTTACTTAAACCGCTCTCACCTTTGAACCGGTGAAAAGGAATCCCATACTAACGATAAATCAAACTGAGATAATAAAAAAAAGTACCATTGATGTCAACTTTTTAAAATACAGCAACGCTATGCTGGGTTTAGGTTAGATAATGAAAAAAAAAATACAGATTAGATTTGAATATATTACCTTGCTACAATAAATCATATCATTAACACAAACCTTGTTCAGAGGTATAGGTCTTTCATCGTGGCGTTTTTGATGTGTTTATATAATATTTCCAATGGTATATCGATCAATAATCAGGCTGTTTACGTGATTGGTTGGCTTCGTTCAATGTTTCGCCTGGCTGCAGGTACCAGATCAGGAAATTCCGCCTAGAATCCGAACATGAATGGCTTGAATGACCAGCTAGTGAGCTAATTAAATCTGACTAAACGCCCTACTCTACTCTACTAGTACTTCACTATGGAATTTTCGTCTACAATAACCGTAATACTTCTCATTTACTCACTCACTTACAATAACTACAGAAACTACTTTTTAATTCCACCATAAACAAGAATGCTTCTGTAGTTCATTCGATATTGTAGTATTGGGCTTCCTCAATGGTTCCACGATTTCAGCCGTAAAGAAGCTAGTCATCATGGTGTACTAGTAAAATGTCGTAATACTAGCAAGATTACACTTTATTTCCGTAAAAGCCATTAAATTTTACACACTCTAATAAACATTTTTGTTGCGTTTTCGTTGTCAGTAACCTTAAAAATTCCTAGTGATGGGGAAACCCTATTAAAAAGCGTGCAATGTACGACTACAGTATTCAAAACGGCGTGAAACTCCGTACCAGCTACTTTATCTAAAGAGTGCGCTCTGATTGGCTAAAAAATATTTCTGATAAGCTTATACATAAGAGTGTCCAAATTTCCTACTTTGTGATTGGAGGTCCATTAAGAATACTTCAAACGTGTTCAAATTGATATAAGACCTCTGTATCTATTTAAAATATATATATATATATTTTTTTTTTTTGAGTCTCATAAGTAAAGAATAAAAACTATTGCCATTTTCGAGGGTATCCTGTGGTGGTCCCAACCTCTGCCTAGCCCCAAGGTGCGCCCACAGTGTAGGTATTCAGCGTTTACTACCGTGGCACATCGGTACGTACACTGATCACACATTGATCTCTCATTCGGTCTGACAATGAATACCTCAAACAAACATGAATTTCTCCGAAAATACTTCCTATCTTCAGTAGCTGCTACTTTTGCAGAGTCAGGTAATAGTAGAATCTTTTATTTTTAAGATTTGGTGGATAATTTATTGCCCGATCCTTGGATTACACTTCGACCTTTCCTCTGTTTGTGTCCAGTGGTTTGGGTCTGTTGATACACGTAGAACGTAACAACGTAAATTTACTTACTAGTCATCGTGGTTTCTTAAATTTATAAGTTTATGTAACAAAGGTTATAAGTTTACAAACTCGGAAAAGAATCTTCATCATTATAACGTATTTTTAATTTGATTATAGGCAGTGATACATGTTTATAAGCACGCGTTCGACCAACTTGTAAACGGTACGAGAAGTCAAGCCAAGAAGGTCAAAATGTAATCGTTTTGAAGTCAAAATATATTTTATTTTTCTTATTTTTCCCAGGATTTAAAATTAAGAAATTCTTTCTATAGTTTAAAAGAATATCACTGTTTTCAGACTTATTCTCAAATCCTAAATGATGTCGTTCAAAAGATTATTTTTCACGTTCCAAAAGATATTTGTTTTGATTTTTTGCAAATATGAATAATTAATTAGTTTAGGTTTGAAAATCTATCTTTTGTTTTAGCTTAGATTGTTTTTTAATATTGTTTGTCATAATGAAAAATTTCTAGTTTTCTATTTATTTAATCTTGTAGGAAGTTGAACAAAAGGTTTTTACCTTACCTTACCTTATATATTCGCGTATGGAAGGTTTTTTTTTCCATCAGAATTTTATGATACATTTTTCAACTTATTTTTCCTTCTAAAAAGTCCCTGCTATTTTGTATCAGAGCTTAGAATTCAAAAAATTGCCGCTCATGATTTGGTTTGGATGATCCACATTGATTTATTTTGGTAAATATGTCAAAAGCAGATAAGATTTCCAGACCTTAGTTAATTATTGAATATTTTTAAAAACTAAAAAAAAAAACTATAAATATTGTCTTACTCAACTGATGGCAATAAGATGAGCTGCTGTTACACGTAAACACAAGAGTTTATATAATCAAATGTAGTTATACGATGCATAATTTTGAAGTTCCTTTTGATATGTAGGCAGCACAAAGTTTAGCTAACAATTACTCAGAAATGAAAAACTCTGATTCCAAAATATTATTGTACATTGTAAATAACTGTTATAAATCTTGTGTTCTGATTGGTCAGGAGCACATGCTTTATGAGAGCACACAGCATGTGCATGCCCTTTCAGCTGCGTCGTTCCTATCCAAAATAATAGTTACTGTAATTTGTATTATATGAAAAAAATCAAAAACTTGCTTGCTGCGCTGTGCTGTGTGGAGTACTAAAGCACTAAGGAATTGACAGAACACTAGAGAAGTGTCAAGATGCATTTGCTACGTGTCGTGCTTTTCCGAACACTTCTGTCATGTTTTATCAACCAACACATGCTTTATAACTACACGCAACATGCATGCACATTTTCTATTTCTTTATTGTTTAATTGTGTTATTGACACAAAATCCTTGTGATATACCTTGCCAAACAACATGCATGTTATGTGTATTTTTTTATATCCAGAATGTACACAGAACAAATACTTAGAATAACAGGCTGTTTTAAATCTCACATTTATCTGATGAATGTGTGTATATGAGAGCCCAAAGCATGTGAGCACATTTTTTGCGCATCATTTCTATCTAAAAAAACACTTTTTTAAATTGATTGATTAAAAAAATAAATTCGAGGTCCCTTTTATACCGTCTGTACTCTTATCAAACATGGAATGACATCAGCATATATCCAAACTCAAGTGGAACCATGAGTGCAATGAGTGATCACAACAACCAACAGAAAGAGTGTGCGCTCTTTGAAGTCAGCTTATTGGTCCTTCCTCTCATCGATGATAAAAATCAGCCAATAAGTTTGCGAGAAATTAAAAAATTGTGGTATTGTTCCATGCCAGTCAACATGGCTGCTGAGTAAGAAAGCTCTATAATGTTATTATAATTTCATTTCTGTCTTGTAGTTACTTTTCCACTTGACATCACCAAAACACGTCTTCAGATCCAGGGGGAAAGAGCCTCTATGGTTTCGACAAATGGAAGCTCTGTGGCCTACAGAGGAATGGTTAAAACAGCAGTTGGAATTGGTAAAATATTCATTATAAAGTTTATATATACATGTATACATTTTTTAATCGTTAATTGTATATGTTATGTCAAGGGACATGCATCCTCTTCATCCCTATCCTAGTTCTTAATGATAATAATAATAATAATTTAATAATAATAATAATAATAATTTTAAACTAAAAGATGAGCTAGGGCCGGTTTTTAGAATGACAGAGAAATGTCGTTCCTAATCCAGAGGTCAGAAATGGAACGCCAGTAAGAACGTGGAGATTGTTAAGACATTTATAATTAATAGACCTTAGAAAGAACTACACTGTAACAAAGCCTAGGCTTGTCCTGCTAGTTACTGTAAATCGAAATGACAGAGAGAAAAAAAGATGCCATAATAATGCATATGCATATCTACAGGGTAGACCTACATCTTACTTTTGGTATGTTGACTTTTCTTCACAGTTAATGAAGAGGGTGTTGTTAAACTGTGGAATGGAGTAACTCCTGCAATACTAAGACACATAGTCTACACAGGATCACGAATGACAGTTTATGAATTTTTAAGGAATAGAGTTTTAAAACGTAATGAAGATGGACTCTTTCCAATATGGTGAGTACAATAAGGTTTCAACAAAGTTTCAATACCTGCCTCTGGTCAGGCAGGTTAATAAAATAGGAAACTTTACCTTGTTATTAACCCACTTCTGGGTTCCATGGTTTGATCAGAGTTAATATTAACTCTGGTTTGATTCCATACATGTACTCTTTCTACGATTTAATGATTGATGGTAGTTCGCTGCCAATTATACCTGTCAAAATATTTGTCTCCATCAGCAAGTAGTGATTTAAACAGTGGTAAATATACTGTTCATGTCAGCTTCATGACATGACATGGTTGTGGTTCGTTTTTGTATTGAATAGGAAGTCAGTTATCAGTGGGATGGC